AAATGAATATGACCCAATGTGGAAAAACATTCACAGTTCACTGGATTTTTATGAGCTTTTCATCTAATTGTGATGGTAAAAAATGTAACGCTTAAAGTAGAGTCTGGGTTCATGAAGGTTGCTTGCCAAACTACAGAGAGCCCTGTGCTGTGAGACTTGTTGCTGTATCGTTGCCACAGCAGCAGCAGCAGCAGCAAAGAGCAGCAGAGCTCCTGTGAAGGCCAGCTCCATCATCTTCTTCAAGTGGAAAGAATCTGTCCCCTCCCTGTGACAGGCTGCCAGCTCAGCCTGAGCTCTTTCTTCATCCCTGGACTCCACTAACTCTTTAAAGCTCAAACCCTTTCTGACTGCTGCAGGCATCGCTAAAACTTAAGAGAAACATACACTGTGAAAGCAAACTGAAGTCACAAAACCAACTGTGGGTAACTCATACAACTCATATGTTCTTTAGGAGTTCACATAAAACATTTTATTTTGTTTATTTCTAGTCTTCTAAATACCGTCGACAAACTGTCCTCACAAACAAGAGCACACAGTAACTCTGGAGTCCCTGCATTGGCTGATAGATTCAAGGAGCCACAGGATCCACAGTGGGGATGTGTTGAGCGTGTGTGAAACATAAGTAAGTTTTCTGTGATGTGGTACCTGGCTGGGCCACAGGCCAAACCGGATAGCAAAGCAGTAGACGCTTAACAACTGAAATCTCTGTACTGGAGTTTTATGTTGTATGTCTTTACAACTCCCTGTCCACCACAGATTTAAACATTTCTAATGATGCTGTCTGTGTGTGTGTGTGTGTGTGTGTGTGTGTGTGTTTGTTTCTGTGTGTGTGTTTGTTTCTGTGTGTGTGTGTGTGTGAGCGTGTGTGTGCCTGAGAGAAAAATAAAGCGATAAAGCGTGAGAATGAGCATCTGGGTGTTTTGCCCCTGCACTACATGTTACTACTGACTTTGCATTTACTTAAGTGCAAATTGACAAACTGACAAATGATCTGGTCTTAATACTCGCATGGAAACAGATAGACCATTGTAAAAAGATCCCCACCCAAAAACAGCTGGACTGATGGCCGGGAATCAAAAATCCACTTTGAAACATTTATTGTCCACATTCGCAATATTTACAGGCAGAGAGAAACAGAGCAAGAAAGAGGATCGTCAGTGGAGATACACAGGCTGATTCACTTAATGGACCATTTTATAGGAGGTCAAGAGATTAGGTTTGTCCTGCGTGTGTTTGTGTGTTATTTCCAGATTTTACAAACTTAATTTAACTGGAGATACTGTATTTTGCTGCGAGTTTGTGTATGATTCCTCTCTCACCTAGCAAACCTGTCTGTCACAGGTTGTGTGTGTGCGTGTGAATCCAATGAACGCTCTGCTATGTGCATGTGCAAGCTATACACACACACACCCGAACACACACACACACACACACACACACACACACACACACACACACACACACACACACACACACACACACACACACACACACACACACACATTGTATGCAGAGCTCTGAGTGCTTTAAGAGGAGAATGCCACGGGTAGATGAGGGGTCAGAGTCTGTGATACATCAGCAGCAGTTTCCTCCAATCCTCTTAGTGCCACTGTGCTGTGGGCCTAACTACTCTCCAGTAGGTAAAAATATACACGTCTCAACCTCACTAATCCCGGAAATGGAGGAATGAAGGTTATTCAAATATGGAGAAACTCAGATTAGGGATTCATTGAAATACCTGCAATACCTTTTAAGTCCAAAAAAAGAGACTATACATGAATTTTAAAATCCACCCACTGTGTGTATTTTTAGACTTTTTTTTTCAGTGAAAATAACAAGCCAAACTAGCTCTGAGGATGAAAGACGACAAACACACAGAGATGCCTAATTGTACTTCTAACATTGACACAAAATTCAAATCTTAGACCCAAAGAGTCCTTTGAAGTCGTGAAGACTGATATAAATGATTTCACTTCTCAAAAATGTCCTCACTTTGACTGTCTGAGACTCAAAGTTGTATTTTGCAAAGACTGAAGTACAGGAACGCACAGACACAAAGAACCAAAATTAACCACTGCACTGACATTACTTTGATTCTGCTGTATCTGGTTCATGTGGGAGCCGTCCCAGCAGAAGATTAACAACGCTGCTTTCTGTTAAGCTTTTTCTTACGGTCAAGGTCAGGTTTTTGTTTTCACTCAGTGTGGGGCTGCCAGCCAGACTGTGAAAAATCCTGCTGTTTATCAACAACAGATTGGTCATTCAAATGAATATATTTATGTAAAGACATAATCTGTAATATTGTAGCAGGGGTGCGCAGGTGTTGCTGATCAATGCGAAGCACTTTGCCATTACCTCAGTGGCTGCAGAGATTTTAAGTTCCCTACTCCTCCCATGTATCCACACAGCGACTGCTGATCACTCAGCCCAGTTGGACTAGCAGTGCACCGCTTACAGCCTCTGGCCTAGAAACCAACATGAAGTCACCACCAGCATCAAGACTCCAGCATCACAGAATCCTAGTGATGATTGTCATCTCATTCCAGGTTATATTGCTGATTCAGTTATAAGTCCTCAGCCACTGAGCTTTGTCAATGTAGAGTGCACAAACAAATCTAAATCGTATGGATTAACAGTTCTTTAAATCTGTAAACAACTCTCTCCTGATTGAACTGCAATTAACTTTACAGCCTAAAAGGCAGCAAGGGTGTCCCGTAAGGTTTGTGATTTGGAAAGGGATCCAGATGGGCTTGCCAAAATCAATCTGCAAATAAATTTATTTTGTGAGCTGACTTGCCCACCTGGAAGATTCTCATATAATGGCTCTGTCTCTAAACATATGTTGAGGGCTCTGTAGGAAGGATAAAGAGAGCCTGGGACAAGTGATGACCTTGTTTGCTCAAAAACTAGAATATTCGGCTTGTGCCTTGTATTAAGACTTTTCCATTCTAATGGTGTTTAAAGAACAATTATTTTAACTGCAGACAATGACAAAAGAGAGACAAAATGGCATTTTGATTTTTAACAACTACTGAGTTAAAAGCTACTTACTAAACGAGAAAGTCGAGTTCAATTTAAGTGTTGAACGGCACCTGAGAATTTCCTCTCACGGTTGAGGTGTCAGACTTTGGGAGGAAATTTGGTGATTTGGGAGGAGTGATGGGCTGCTATAAGAAAATCAAGGAGTGTGCCTTTAAGCCTGTCCAATGCTGTTTGAGCGTGAAATGGTACTAGCCTATTACAAGGGCTGGCAGAGGCCAGAGAATTTTGAACAAAACCGCCTTGATCTATATGAACCGGTTTGGATAGTACCCAGGGTTCTTAGCTGTCACAGGTGAGTGTCACAAGTTTTAAATGTCTGAATTCAGAAATGAACAAAATTTTATGTCTGATGTTTAACAGTTTAATGTATGTACGGCAACTATGTGAAACTGTGTACATGCGGGTGTGGGCACACGTGATAAAATGTACGGCTACGCTTGTGGATGTTTATCTCTTGCGGATGTAGATCAAAAATCCTGCCACGTTAGGCAGTTTAACACTCTCTGATTCTTTTCTCTTATCTGGCACAGCCACAAAGCTCAGCCACGCTCTGCCACCTGGTCTAGATTGAAGGTAGGCGTTTCAACCCTGTAAATGTCAACAAGACACCCGCTCAACTCTGAATAGTTACCATGACAACATGGTACTTGACAGCCACCATGCATAATTGGATGTTTTGGTCTGACAGAAATGATCTTCAGCTGTCAGTGGCAGACAGGTTGGCTGACACAGGCTGGCCGAGACATATATGTGAGATATACAAGATACAAATAAAAAAAATGTATGGAGAGAGAGAGAGAAGACAAAAAGGTGAGAGTAAGAGGATGTTTGCAGGTGAGGATAAAGAACTATCACGATATAGAGTAGAATAAGAGCTGAAATAGAGATGCGTTAACAGAGTGAAAGACAAAGACGAAGAAGAATAAGGGCAGACAGGAGTATGTCTTTCAGATGTATTAGAAGCATCGAGAATCAAATAGGTACCAAAAGGGTCAAAACTGTAAAAAGAAAGAGGGATTTAGAGATAGAAAGTGAGAGATGGCTGGTGTACTGTCTGTGGGCATAATTTTCAGGGCAACAAAAGGGCAGGCAGGCAGAGGGGAACCGAATCCTGCTCCGTTTGTCTCCTCAAATGGCCTCTAGGGACTGTGTGAAATGGCCCTTTTCTTCTTGGTCCTTTTCAGTCCTAAACCCCATCTACATGACAAACAGTGTCACTTTGAAGCTGCTTGTGTCATCTCGGCCTATCTGTCACTCATTCCTGACCTTTTGCTCCCGCCTCTCATCTTTCTTTCTTTTTTCCACAGTAATTCACTTTTTCTTTTTTTTTTTTGTCACTGTCTCCCTTTCACCTTCTGTCCTTTTCATTTATCTTTGATATCTGCCTCTGCACTCAAAACAAGACTTTGGGTCTGAAGAAAACGGCAGGGACATTTCAGCAGCTCTTCTGACTATGTGTTATATTGTTCGCAGAGTACTAATTAGACAAAAGCCTCATAAATTAAGATTCTGTTGTTGTTGTTGTTGCATAATACTTCAGTTGATAGTAACTTTTGACCTGTTTCAGTGCAATGACATTTAAATACTGGGAAAAACTGCTCTTATGCAACTAAAGACAAGAACATCAAACATCATTTAACCCTGAAATCTGCATTCACTTTTGATTTTTTTTTTTTTTTGTTTAAATGATTCTTGTTTTCTGTTCTAAACAAGGCAACCATCAACAATCAGTCAGCTAAACAATGAGGTCTCCTTGTTTTGACATGTACAGTTATTGTTATGACCCCCTTGTCACTCAATGGTGTCTCAGATATTATGTGTGACATATGGAAGAACATTTTTTTGAAAATGCTGAAACACAGACACATGCTGTATACATGTGATTAGGTGTAAAAATGTATATGTGTGTATACTGAAGCTTTATCAGTGATGATCATGCTGAGCAAGGGTCATCCTACCTGGTTGAAACGATCCAACCTCTCCTTGACCTCAGCGAGCGTAGGATCCACACTGCGAACTTTGACCTCTGGGTTTTGCCTCTGGGCGTGCAGACCATTTCCTACAACTCTGCCAGAATAGCTGTGAGAAAAAGGAAGAGAGAGTCAGATACTTGGTGTCAAATAGAAGACAATATACACTTAGGCGCAGAAAGACAGACAAGAAGTGTTTCTTTGAGACAACAGCAGCCATATTCTGATGTGATTTTGCTTTATTCTGCTTGTAAGAGAGGGGTACTGTAGATATTTGTTATTGTGAGATTTTTATTTGTTGATCTTTCCTTGTTATAAGTAACCATGTGTAATTATATTGCATCAAAGACCACAATGGAAATAAGTGTTGGACTTCACTGTGTTATGCTTGACAAATAAACTGAGATGTAATTTTGTCTTTACTGTCAAATAGACTAAACTAAACTAAAAGCCAAACAGAGCAGTACAATGTGTAGTCCACCAATGTCTTTATTCAGTAGTCTGCCAACTACACCGCAGCACTTCTTCAACATGAACTGAAAACCATTAGTGTCTCATCTGTCAAAGACGAGAAACAGAGCATGTTGCACGAAAACATTAAAAACTCCCAACACTGCAATATGTTTTGTGTCAACAATCGCTCAAATGAATCAAATGTGGTCAAAAATCACTGGATGCTGCTATTATGGTTCTTCTGTAACTGAAAATAATTTCAAATGAAAATGTGACTGGGCACAGCGTTGTAAAAATGAAACTGAGACACATGGTGAGCTGGACCCTTTAATCCCTGGCATGCTCCTTGGGCCTGGCAGGGATTATAGCTGTTGATTTTGTCAGAGCTGTTGTTGAGCTGATGTCAGGGAGGTTAACATTTCTAGCAGCATGCCTGATTTAGAGGGGAAGTGTGGTAACTGTTTAAAATTAAGACATAGAAGTTGTTATGGCTGAAATAAATAATACCTACCATGACTCAGCACACCACAGCTAAGCATCCAGGAGGGATTCATTGAACATTTTATAGTTTTAATGGCAAAAATGTTTGAACCATGAACTGGACTACATTATTGTTCATTTCTTAAGCAGGAATTTAAATAATATATTGCAAGTCGCTGTACTTTAGCTTTATTTATTTAGCATTAGGCTACGTGCGTTGTGTATTATTTCTTCACTGAAAAAGGTACAACCATTTATTATCTGTTGCTAATAAAACATATTGACTAGTGGGCAACTGGGAATTTGTCATTACACTGAACCTAATTAACCCAATTCATTATATACTAATGACTAATTGACCAGTTCTGAATTTGTTTACAACCTACAAGCAAATTCACTAATTATACCAACCAATACGATTACAATGACAACTCATAATGGGTAGAATAGTGATTTTGTTTCTAAAAATGAGAAGCTCAGACACTACATCCTCAGAAGAAACACATTTACCCTGCCTTAGAAAGAGAAAGTACCTGTGCTTTAAAATCCATTAATTTTAGAGAGAGACTGTTAATGTTAAAATTCACTCACCCGCTCTCAACTCTCTATTTCTCACACTTATTATGCACATACATACTCAGTCTCCCCCCTCTTCATCTGGGATATTGAGTCTCCTCAGCCTGTCCCTAAGGTTAAACACCACAACCTGCAAAGGAAACTTATGTCGGCCTCTTGTATTAGTGATATCATTCTGCTGATCAGAGACTGTCCTGTGAAAAAACGACCCCACACTGCTGTGCAAGCAGCTTATTATGACCCACAGTTAGGTTTCATTGTTGGCCACCTCTACCAACCGTATTGATTATGACAGGACCAAAGGAGGAAGTCAGGTGACGTAGTATATAGAGCGACAAAGTCAGCGTTAGGAGGCATCAAAACATTACTTATTTCTGTAGCACCTAAACCACAATCTTTAAATCTAACCAAATCGTAGTGATAACCCTAATCGCATATTTATTATAGTTACCATGACGACGGAGGTCTGGCACACCTGCCGCTGCTACGCTCTTAATGCTCTTGCCTACATAGGTAGATATGTAGATTCACTGTTAAACTAATAGCTTCGCCTTATATACATATATTTTTTTTTCACAGCCATTATACTGTTATCCAAATCAATTTGAGAATTATATGTGGATGGTAATCTTCCATGCGGGGGTGTGTGTGTGTGTGTGTGTGTGTGTGTGTGTGGGGGGGGGGGAGTGGTAACACTGGAGAGGAATGACATCTACAGGCATCAAATCAATTGATGCTTCCACGGGCAGCGTAAGGCTGATGGAGTGATTATGGACTGTGTAAGTGAGTGTGTTTATATGGACGTGGCGGATAGGCATGTGCGTGGATTTGTGGTGTGGTTGTGCTCGCACACACCTGCATGTATTGTGGATATGAGTGGAGGCAATCATAAAAGTGCTGAACCTGAGAATCTCCGTGATCTAAGCAATGTCTTGATAAGGTCTGTGCCCCTTCGGCTTGCTGAAACAGCGCTTTACACATCGGGCCCATAAAAATGCAAAAATTTCTCACTTAACCCTCTGCCGCTACACATTACTTTACATCTCCTCCTTGTTTATTTCCTTCCTCCTTTCATTGCTTGGTTCACTTTACTGTATTTGCAAAGTGGACCCCCACCCCCAAACAGACAGACACACACACACACACACACACACACACACACACACACACATACACAAACCGCTGTCTGCTTTGACAACAATTGAGCACTTAATTGCCCGGCGGCTTTGAATCTTCTCTTGTCAAGATGGAGACAATCGATTGCTTTTGGACTTTTAACTTCCCCCCTCTGACATAAATGATTAATTGAAGAATCGAATAGCTCCCTAAGCAGTGGTTGAAAGCGGGGGCCTGTGTGTTCGGGAGCATATGCGTGTCCGTCTCCAGCCTTGGCTTGGGATAACAGTGTTGGCGTGGAAATGAGCTCATCAGATGGGATGCTAATGAAAGGAAAGTGTCAGGGTGAGTTTGGCAGCATGTTAGACCTGGAGCACTTCATTGTGGGGTAAGTTTAATATGACGTAAGGGGTGTGACAACTGACAAAGCAGGACATCCCAGAGATGATTACCTGATAGACAGACAATTAATGCAGCAAATTTCTGGCCGGATCTGGAGCAGACATCAGATGCTATGATAAGCTTTCTGCCAATGGCCGTGTACTATTTCAAAAAAAAAAAAAAAAAAATTCTCGCTACAGCCCTATGTCCCAACGAATTAAAGTGTGACTGTGAATGTCGAGCAGAAAACTGTACAAGAAAAGTAAAAGACTGCAGCACCCAAATGATATCACTCTCTTGTGTGGCTAATAAATGAATAGCTCTCGTCCGGTGGTCTCAAACGTTCAACCTCAACAAACATTCGAAACGACTACCTCCACATGTATGGCTTCTGACTCATCGCTCTCTGGCTATTTTCTACTGAACTGACTCATTCCCCTGTGAATGCCCAATTGATGCACTCTCCTAAAGGCAGCTTTGTCTGTTCCATCTTTCCCTCCGCCTGGAGCACAGACTAGAAGTGACCTCCACTCCCTGATGCTGACCCCAAACTGAACTGTCTTGATCTTTTGAAGGCCTGCGGGAATGCCTGTGGGGCTGTAAGGCAGAAAACAGATATTCAATATTCATCTTCCAAGGTGTACGGGGTGACAACACAGGGAATATGTGCATCCAGAGTGCACGCTTAAACATGCCCGAACATTTCGGTGTGTATGCTGTAAGCAAAGCTACGCTATAGCATTAATACCAACATTTTCATGGATGTGTAAACATTTGATGAGGAGTTTGAAGGAGGTTAGCTACTGTCAGAGAGAGAGAGAGAGAGAGAGAGAGCACGTCTAGTAGACTGGCCCCAGGTAAAGTGGATTCTGATTGTCTTTCATCTGTGCTCAGCTCTTGACTGAAACCAGTTGAGCCCACAACACTCATCAGGGATTCAATTATATAGATGTGTTTTGTGTATATACTGCATGTACGTGTGTGTGTGCGTCTCTTTAAAGTACAGGTAGGGATGATCTTTGCATTTCCCCATGAATCTCTTTTTGATATAGTGAAACTCGTCAGAGCACTCTGCACTCTTACAGCTGCTGACATTTCCCTTTCAAACAGACAGTACAACAAACAACTAAAAACTAGACGGATCCCTTCTTGTTCTACTAAACCTTCTCAGCACAGCTTATTTTAAACCTCCAAACATACAGTACCACAGAGACTTCCAAGATGACCCATAGACAGTGTAAAATAAACATACAGCAGATTCAGTAGTTTTGTTGGATTGTAATTTGTCTAATTGCATAATTGCATTGGTTCTGCAAACTCTCTGCAGAGATATTCGCCAGGATCCCAGTGGTTAAGAAGATTATCCACTAGTATCTGCCAGTGAGATAAACGGTTGTACATAATCTCTGGGATGATTAAAGGCAGTTTTGTTGATTTTTTTTTTGTTTGATGTGCTTCAAAATTCACTGCAGGATTGTAGGATAGCACCATCAAGGCTACATGGTGTTCTTGACATTTTGTGCCAGGAATTTTAAGTTAACACACTGCATATCTGGATCTTTGCTTCAGTAATTAGAATCAATAAATCATCCCGTAATAGCTCGAAAGCAGGACATTGTGTGAAATCGTCAAGTTTAATAGACCAATGAAGAATGTATCAATAGGATAGTACTGAATAATATAGACGTACACGGTGCTGTTGGGTATCATTTCTGAAACAAATCAAAATCAATCTTGCGGACACAAATATTATTTCCCACTGGCAGCATGTGGAGCTGAACTATCCAGCTCCACATGTTACGCTGACATTATGAGGAGATAACATGCTGTACTCTCTGCCTGACAGGTTAGTAGTCAACACATAGATTTATGCTTGAGCAGCAAACCCATCTCTGTTGCCCAGTAGGATGTGTAAAACAGTCAACAACGTCGAAGGGAAGAACTCAAACTGCAAACCGTCTTCCACTTTGAGGGAAAGTCTCTGACAAACACAGAAGGCGACGAAATACCTGGGCACTGTGCGTCTATGCGCGTGTGTCGTCAGAAAAGTAAGATGTTATTACAGTTTAAAAGTACAACATTAAAAAAAGGGGTGCTCTACTA